GTTCAAGTGTGCTGTCACTTTACCACATAACATGTACATACTGTAAACATACAAAGCATGTAACATGAGGTTCTCCCCAAACAAATCGAATAAAATGCTTATGACGGAATTGTTTCGAAATATATTTTTCTAGGGACTCTATTTTTATAAACTTGTAAGAAATGTTGTTGATTAGTAGAACCAAGTGAATTCATAACAACGGATTAGCGAAAATTTGGTTTTTCTTCAGGCTGGAAATTATTGCTCGTGCTCATTAAACTGGCAACCAAAAAGCTTTCATTCAGTAATGCGGATACAATAAACAATAATTACATAACCACATTCTTGTGAACTGGGAAAGCATATGAGGGCCAACGAAAATTAACCGATTTATTATATATATATAATTCAAATAAGAAGCTAGAGGTTCTTATAAGTAGCAAATCGTCAACGCCATAGCGTGTCTAAAAAAACACATTTGCGCACTTAAAGTTATAATTATATTAAAAAAAAATGAAATTTGAAAAAGTCTGGAAAGCGGTGATAGATAATCTTCAGCTCGATATACGAAACACGTCATCCCCTATTATTATACAAGCCGACAGCATCAGGTTTCGCACTATTGCAATAGAAGGTTTTTTATTTTAAAGCAGATTTGGAACCTCAAATTTGTGATTTGTTACTCCAATATACTTGGACCATAGCAATGCTCATAAATATGGAGACGAAAGTCTGGAAAGCGGTGATAGATAATCTTCAGCTCGATATACGAAACACGTCATCCCCTATTATTATACAAGCCGACAGCATCAGGTTTCGCACTATTGCAATAGAAGGTTTTTTATTTTAAAGCAGATTTGGAACCTCAAATTTGTGATTTGTTACTCCAATATACTTGGACCATAGCAATGCTCATAAATATGGAGACGAAAGTGGTACGATCACCATGAACACACAACTGATGGAAAATCTTTGTGAAACCAGCAAATTTGTGGGGAAAACGAGCCTTAGGTTGCGTTGACTTAACAAGTACTACTTTCTTTCCGTTTTTGTGTTAATGAATGCGTATGTACTGGTGCAAGGATAATGTAGCAATAATCTAGATGGCTCCGAAATACTCATAATAATTAGCCTTATGTATTTGATTTTAACTAATGGAAATATGAGTTCATTCTAGTAGTTGAAGAGCTTATGCATAAATGTCATAGTTTTACGTTTGGCCAGGGTGAAACAAGCGTGTATAGGTCTTCTTCTTCATCGTCGGTTACATCATGATGAACACACGTGTTATACAAACAACACTGAGAAATTGTATTTTTAATTAAAAGTTCACTTTACTATATTAAACACAATTCTATGCAATAGGTATTCGGCAATTTTATATCATTTAATATTATCATTTTATATTTCATTTTTCACTTGCAAATTTGAATGCGAAGCGAAGGGGCAATAGTCCGAAACTCGCAGAAAAATAACCAATATGGCAGAAATACATTTTTACTGACTGTTATATGAAACTTTAGCGTAGACATAAATACCACAACAGTCTTGTGTATTAGCTTGAGGCTGAAAATTTCTTAGATATCAATTTATCTTGAATAACTCATCGAGTCTTGATTATGATTATACTTGATTTATGAATGGAACATAGTCGAATGGTGTGACATTTCTAACATTATTTTAATATTTTTATCGTTGCTGATTGCTGCAAACTGCAAAGCACTTGAACGTGCATATTTGTTGACAGATGAAACAAGCAATTGAATATCCCGAGGTTGGATAATTTTGAATTCACTTTCAGCATGCTAAATCATTGCGATACTATTTCTGTGTTTCTTTCATTAATATTTGATTCGTTTGAGTCCGATTTCATTTGTAAACTGCAAAATTATCCATAAGTCAGCATTTGCTTATTAATCCTTCTTCTTCCTCGACGATATTTATATCAAAAGCAAACCATTGTTTGTCCGAATATGAATGTAACATTGATCTTCTGTCAGATAAATAAAATAAAGATCAACATCCCTACAAGACATGTTGGAGGAACTGGGGTCATTGACTCGAATCGAGCCGGACTAGAGTCGCGTTTCTCAATGACTCGACGTGAACTCGGACTCGACAGACCATCATATGGAATTAACTTGGGAAGAAAAAATTGGACGAGTTATTGAATTAAAGAGAAAAATTCCTATGAAGTACAATTTCCCAAGCCCATTGATGATGTATGAAAAAAATAGACGATCGTTGAGAAGTGATTAGTTACTTTTGACTCCCTGCTCCATAGATTGTATAAGGCAAAATTATTTGAAAAAAATAAATAAAAATAGGTTATTGCAATGTAGTCACCACATAACATGTCCATACTATATATATATACAAAGCATGTAACATAAATTTTTCTTCATATAAATCAAATAAAATGCTTATAACTGAATTGGTTCTGAGTGTATTTTTGCTAGAGATTATTATTCTATAAACTTGTATGTTTTAGATCAGTAGAAGCAAGTAAATTTTTAACAACATATTAGCGAAAATTTGGTTTTACTTTAAGCTGAAGATTATTGCTCGTGCACATTAAACTTGCAAACAAAAAGCTCTCAGCAATGCGAATATGATAAACAATAACTAACCGCATTACTGGGAATTGGGAATGCGTATGAGAGCCAACGAAAAGGAACTGATTTATCATATATAATATGAAATAAGTGGCTTTAGGCCCGCAAATTTTCAACGCCATGGCGTGTCTAAAACAAACCCCATTTGCGCAGTAATGAAAAAATGAAATTTGGAAAATTCTAGAAAACGGGGATACATAATCTCCAGTTCGTTATACGAAACACGTCATACTGTATTATCATACAAACCGACAGCCAGGTTTTGCACTATTGTAATAGAAGTTATTTTATTTTGAAGAAGAACTTTTTGAAACTCAAATTTGTAATTTGTTACTCCAATACACTTGAAACATAGCAATGCTCAGAGATATGGAGACGAAAGTGGTACGATCACCATGGGCACAAAACTGATGGAAAATCTTCGTGAAACCAGTAAATTTGTGGGGAAAACGAGCCTTAGGTTGCGTTCACTTAACTAGTACTACTTTCTTTCTTTTTCTGTGTTAGTGAATGCGTATGTACTGGTGCAAGGATAATGTAGCAATAATGTACTGCAGAATATGAAACTTCGTTTATACATACATTAGTGTTGCAGAAGTAAACTAAAAATAGAAAACGAAAACGGACATCAATCCTTTCTCCCGCCTTTCAACCACAACAGAATTGAGTTATTGTCAATTTAAAGAATATAAATGTATTGAAAAGATGTGGTACTGAGATAACGTATTGTTTACGCGCATTAATATTTTAAAAAACACTTAACTTTACTCCACGCTTGCTCGACGTAATATATGAATTCATGTTAAAAAATGTCGACAAATTATGTGTCAAGAATTCAAAATACAATACGGTAGCATGTCAAGTCAACTGGTTTCTTTGTCGTACCAACTGAATCAAATTATATAGTTTTTTTTAATAATTTTAATGCGCTTAATACATAACTTAATATTATTCAAACTTTTATACACATATATTTCATCTAGATTCTACTAATTTGGACTGCACAGAACCTAAGGTAGTTGGTCCTTGTTATTCGTCGCTGAGAAGATTTTTTTACAATACTGTAACGGAAAGTTGTGAAGTCTCTTAGTATGGCGGATGCAAAGGAAGCAAAAACAGATTTCTAACAAGAAGAGAGTGCGAATCAAACTGTCCAGCAAAACGTAACTTAAGATAAAGTATTCTTAAAATTTTAACAGTATGGATTGAAAACCGATTACCGGGACATTAACAAAAATGCGAAAACGGAAGTAATCAATGCAAAAAGATGATACAATGTTCAATTTATTGCAAACATTAGAAATGATGTAGGCTATGTTTTGCTAAAAGCTCCGCCCATGAAGTTTTACAATTTATGTTAGATTAGTGTACTATAAAGAATAATAACATACATGCAATAAATGTTTCATCCATTTTTATTCAACTGCGGAGAGCTTATTCAGGCAAATAAAACAATGACTTTATTTACCACTGGTACATTTTTGAATCTTAGTCTAACATTATTCTGATAGAGTGTTGTTTGGAACCCAAAAAACGCGGTCCCTGTGGAAACTACTCTTCTCGGAACTATTTTAATCGAAGGACAAGGCAATGTGAGCGTTTCATTTACGGAGGATGCCAGTCTAACGAAAACAACTTTCTCTCGAAAGAGGAATGCGAGAAAAAATGTCCAGTTGAAGTGCGAAAAGCTGAATTTACAAACCAGATCTCCTCGTCTAGTTACTTTGTTTGACGACTGAAAATAATGATGTGGTTTTAGAGTGACGGATTCGACACGTCTTTATGCGATAAGGTGTAAATTGTACCATAAATTCGTAGTGTGTATACTTTATTGTTTGATGCTTTCGGATCATAATAATGATTTGGTTAATTCTGAAATTTGGGTATAAGCTGATTACCGATTTTTTGTATTATATCGGTTCTTCGGTTTATCGTTTTTATTTCCATGTTCATCTTATTCATTCCAAGATTCTACTTTTCTAACTATTGCTGTTTTTTGTTAATGTAACAAGTTTCATATAAAGAAGTAAAATTTGTTATGTAGTTGAAATTCATGACTGCATATTTCTATATTTCCCCTTTTTTATTGTAGATTTATATTTAAAGTTCGTTGTAAATAAATATTTTTCTCGAAGCAAATATTTACTTGTTTTAATATGTGTTTTATAGGGTTACGTCGTAATTTTCGTTAATTTTCCTTTAATCAATGATATAGGACTATTTTATTGCCTTAACGGCATGGGGAGTGTCTGAGATATTCTATGTTCGTAGGCTAAGGTACAAATAAAGCAGATTCTGAC